CAGTTATTGTTTTTTTCTCTTTAAATGTTTCCCGCATAAGCGCAGCGGTTAAAGCAAACATCTTGAATCGTTCTTGATTTGTGAATTCGAAACCCACTGCAGAACGTGATGACCGGTCCTTGGGATGAGAATCGAGGTCCAATGTTGCAGTAGATAAATGCTGGGACGAAAAGGATTCCTCGCTGCTCATCAGCCATATAAACCAATTACAGGCTTAAATGCGCAGCCTCCCACATACTTGGTGGCATCCTAGCGTGAGTGAAAATTTCTTGAAGGACGTAAAACAAACAAACAACTAGCCAACCTTTAAATACATGTAACTTTCACCATTTAACATTCCTTATCAATATGAATATTTTAGATCACTAAAGTGTCCCCTATACGATTTGTTGTCTTTAGCCATAGATACGAAACTTTCACATTGCTCATACTCCCGATGAATTTACCTTTCAACTGAAAAAAGATCATTTTTAAATTATTGCATAATTTTGCAATTTGCAATGGAAATATTCAACAAAAATAAAAATAGATGTAATCTCTTAAAGGGTAAGTAAGATATATACAGCATATGTTCCATCGCTCTTGTTATTTAAGTTAATTACACAGAAATGTTCACTAATATTTTTTTTAAAATAATATCGTTTGACTAAAGGGTACAGGTTTTATGTTTAACCTTAACTTTTTGATTTATCATACTGAAATAAATTTCAAGACTTTTTTTTAAATTTAAAGCTAAATTTTAAAGATATTTTTCTACTATTTCCTTAACAAATTTTATATATATCAAATTTGATTTTAATGTCAGACGACACGTTCCTCAAAAACATATATATTTTTCCAAGAATTTGTCATTGAAGTATAGGATCTTAAACAAGTTTCCTCACAAAAAATTGAGGTACGTTACCAGGGATTTGGACAAGATACCAGAGGGTGATATTTCTTACACAATCCATATTGGTACTCTTCTGAATGGCCTGTGTCACAATTTTTGGTGTACTTTTATTTAAAAACATATTGAAAACAGTCTAGAAATCACAAGATGATGACAATTATGAATAATTCTTTATATAATATCAAGAAATACAAAACATATTTGAGGAACGTGTCGTCTGACCTTAAAAATCAACCAAACAAAACATGGTTAATAAGAAATTATGTTAAGACACATTTCAATTGAATCGAGGAAAATTTGAAAGTTTTCATGAGAAAAGTTTTAACGTATCATTATGCGAAGAAGACAGAAAATTTAAAACAAAAGACGTCTTTAATTATATACATTTCTGTGATATTGTAAAGTACATCGTTGTATAACCTTCAATTTTCAAATGATAGATGAAACATTATGAACAATATGTGTGGTACGTCCAGTTAAATTTACATAACGTATAACCAACGAGGCATATTGTATATATCACTAATAAATAATTGCAATGAATTAATTTAGCATGAGCACACATTTAACAAGATATGTTGGCATTTGTACTTTAACAGATACATTTTATAAAGAGTTTGAAAGGTTTGGGCGTTTGCCACGTTATCGAGTACTCCATATAAATAATGAAAGATGTTACCTGTACATATTTCTTTTGTGAATAGTATAGCACAATTCGTTTCCATTCCAAACAATCACCATCGAAAAATAGAAAAATCTAAAAAGGGTGGCATTTAAAATAGTAAATAGTTTACTTTGTATATATGGTTTCACGCTCATTTGCTTTCCCTTCGGCTGCCTTTCGTCCATTAATAACTTCAACAGTATTATTTTACAAAGAATAGTGCATAGGGTATAAAAGAACAAAAAGTGCTTTTATAAACCATTGTATTTATTTGTATTCTGAGAAATTCCATCTCGATATTGCATTTTTACAGTATATTATGAAATCATTAATTTCATGGGAATTTATTTTTCGTTGTTTTCATGACGTGAAGAAGTCAACCACGAAATGTGAATGTTTTGAAATAATACTAACACAGCACTTTTAACCACGAAATCAAATCCTCTTGAATAAACATTTCCCCCTAAACCACGAAAATTTTATCCCACAAAAATATGTGATTTACAGTACATTGTATTTGCTTAAGAGGCCTCAAATGGTGCTGGAATATAATGTGCTGGATATCAAAAAATATTAAAGGATCAATATTCCTTTCAGTAAATTTTTAATTATGTTAAATATGTTTAATAAATAAACATGGCAGCTTACCTTATATGAGTAATATATAATAGTAATTGCTGTCTCACTGAATTCTTACATTTCAAACAGATTTGTAAAGTTGATTAGGTCAATAGAGTCTCGTGTCCTTTATGTGCAAGTATGTTTCCTCAGAAATTGTCTTAGTAAAAATGCTTCTATTTCGTGGCTATTTATGGTTAATGTATGTAATTCATTCATATGTTCTGCAGTATGTTTTGACAAATTTCCTTTGGCACCTTCTCACAAGTAGGGCGTTTCACCTTACAAATGTTTGCCGTAGTTCTCAATCCGGGAGAGTCATTATCTTGGAAATTTCTGGATTCGTCTTTATGCCTGAAATGCTTTTAAGACTTTAATAGGATAGAAAATAGAAATTACCCCTGCACATGGCATACTGGGATATATTATTACCCTTTCTGATTGGTTGCTACGTTTTATCACCTTGGCTATATATTCTAATTTGGTCATATATCGTTTTATTGTTCCATTTATTTTGCTTAAATATTCCCAAAGGAGTCAATCCTTCAATTTTTTTTTATTAAACTTCCACAATCTACTTTGCTAGTATATTTTTTTTTTCAATTTCAATTACCATGAATCATATATTGCAACAAAAGATTTTTATTTCAAACAACATTTCAGGACTTAATATTACTGTTCCTTTGTTAATGATTAGATAATTTTATCATAGGCATCCAGCTCGCTTTAATTTGGTGTTTTCTCAAATAGAAAAAAGTTGGCATCACTCTTAAAAAACCCGTTACACTCTGTCTTTCGAAACAACTTTAGAGTCGCATGCTGATATAAAAGGTGCGCTCTGATTGAACAAACCAAAACGAACCTAATTGTTTGTCCAATCAGAGCGTATCTTACATAGTAAGGTAACTTAATTTGACAGTAGTACGGCTTTTCTAAGGTCCAATCAATGCTCGCCTTTAATAAGCAGAGTAAAGATGTTAAACTCATCTTAATTAAGTAAGTTAATCTTTATTATTTCATGTAGTTAAAGCTGTGAAATGGCACAATATACCTGTTCTGTCTTACTACTAAAATATGTCAGAATCGGAATATTCATGAGGGTACATTTCAATATTCTCACGATCGTGGATTGAAATTTGGAGTAACGAACAAAATCATGCCATTTTTAACCTCAACTCAATTTCGAAGTTTATGACATTTCTCTTATTACGTATATATAGTATTGTTATAGTTATAGTTATGATCGTATTTTTAACGAACATTGAAATTAATACCAGTTAGTTACAAATTAATATTTTCAATATGTTTAAAAGAAATTACTTACTTCTTCATCCTTACAAATTACATATTTTAAAGGATTTGATGCAAAAGAACAACACATGAAATGTTTTTACTTTACACATAAGAAAACTTTGTTCTCCTTTGTTTTATTTATATCTTTCGTTAGCATGGTTGTTACGAGATTGATCACTGTAGATTACCATGTATGTATCAAGTGCACAAGAAGCATTGTCTTTCTCTCTGAAAAAGGAAAAGACATTGAAGTTAATGTAATTCTAAAAATTAAATCTGTAAAAAGTATATAGCATATTGAGAGTTAAATGGATATTTTTGCACTTGTTATTAGTGCCACATGTACAAATACACAACCAAAACACACAACAATTTTGATTATAGCCTCGAACTGTGCAGAAATTTTCATATGGAACTGTTTAGATATTCTATATTATGTTCTTACATTTTGCAACGAAATATGCAATTATTATTGACTGCAGCCTTGGTATAAGTGGGCCATATATGGTAAATGTGGAAAATACGACTGCTTTGAAATTGAGCCAACAAGCTTCCGAATCAAAGAAAAATCGATAAGCTAATATTTAATGTAATGTAAGTTTGAAAATTAGCGATGAAAATATTTTATTACAATTTTAAGATTAAAAAAAATCCTCAAATGATAAATTAATGAATCATTGTGAAAAACAGAAATTATGTCTACAGGAAAAAAGGAGAGAAAGGTTTATCAACATAATTGTAAAAAAGTGCAGGTTTTAATGATTTTCTCCCTGCGAGCCGAGCTAGGATCTGATCCACTCGGGGTTCAGAGTGGACCAAAAATCGAGACTTTCAAAGATATCTTAATGTCAAAAGGGTTTTCTCTATTCATTTGAGCTGTTAAGCTTCATGCTCTTACGATGGTAATGTGTAAAATTTGAGAGAATCATATTCCAGAGAGATGATTCAGCTGCTGCATAAAATGAAACAGATGTTTGAGGATGAAAATAGTGTGACAGACGTACGGACAAATGGACCAGGATAACAACAATATAACAAAACTTTCTTCAGAAAATGCGAGAATTTTCCAGGCTGATAATTTGCCAGAGTCTGATAATTTTCCAGGCTGATAATTATTAATGTATGTGGACCAAGGATATAGGCTTGGATAGTTCCGAGGTTATAGTGCATGACTAGTAATGCAGGGGTCCACGGTTCGATTCCTAGTCCAGCCATAAATTTTCTCCTTTCCTATTACATTACATTGGAACCTCACATTCTATCTTTGAAATCCATTGGTTTGGCTTAAAAACTAATTATCCAAAGGAAGTAACAATGTTAAATTCTCTTGCCATATCCATCAAATACTAGGTGTCATTGAAATGCAAAATGCATAGAGTAAAATAAAGCTTTTACTATGGAAATCTGGTGCTTTGTCCTCTGATGTCAATGCTTTCCTATCGATTAGTGCCAACAGATCGGGACACGGTGTCGGGAACAAATTACTAATCCAACTCCATACAGTCAGCATATAATTCAAACGGCTTCTGCGACTGTATGCTGTGAACGATTTTTATTAGTAAATCTATACCGAATGAAATGTCAAATCTATAATGGCTGGATTGCGAATGTTATACAAACAGCTGTTGCAGTGTGCAGATCTAAAACAGTGACAGTATTAAATCAGTCTCGTTTACGTCAAGAAGTCACGAACGGTTAGATAAAGGACTGTTTGTACAGTACTATGGCATGCGAAACGTTTGTGAAAGAATTCCAATCCGAAAATCTAGGACTAAACCATGACACTCCAGCAGACTTTGTCCGTTCCCAGGTAAGCCTAATCATTTCATTATGATATGCTATTCAGTCTTCCAATAATCGATTATAAAAATCTATGCTATTCAGTCTTCCAATAATCGATTATAAAAGTAAAGTCAGTTAAAGTGCTTAGCAGACTTTAACGCGTGAACCTGCAGACGTCGGATATAAATCGGTAGTTTTCAATTAAAGGTTGAATATTGTATTTGATTTAAAGCAGTGAAAAACAATACAAAAGATTCCATAGTTTAATTGTATAAATTGTGTTAGAATAGCCAGTGTATCTTGTTAAAAAACTGGAATATGACTTATATAACTCGAGACAAGTTCAAAGACGTCAACGATGGTAAACGCAAAATCATTTTGAAAAGAAATACATTTGCTGCCTGACAAACCTCACTAAATTGTTACTGTAACCATTTAGCAAGGAGACACTGAACCATTCAAGACCTCAAAACACATCTAATGAATTGGCATTTGTGCGATTGCTGTAAGTCTATTATGACTGTTCCACGGTTCCAATGGTAACACTTTCTGCAAAGACAAAACATATACTAGTAGTGTTCCAGTAAATTATTGAGAATTTTTTTTATGATACATTTATCTTAAATGTTGGATCAATAACATACAATATAATTTAATGTTTCTATTTTACTTCATGACAATATCCCGTACTTTCTAATGATACATGCAGTTTTCATAGATAGCCTCCCATTTATTTGCTTCATGTTGTATGCTGATGTTTAAAATTACTTCTATCGGAAAAAGAAAGCCTATTGAATCTATGAATCAGTAAGAAATTGTTAAATCAGGTGATATTTCCGAAACACCGAGTATTTCGTCTACTTTGCATTGTGTGGTACGAAAAAAATTTAAAAAGAAGAAGAGGAATTCAGTTAAGGAAAAGAGTATGTGGGCCTAGTAAACTAACATTCACATATCAAAGAAGGCTTGGATATTTGCTCAGCAAGAACAACATAAAGTGTAAGAAAGTGTAAGCGTGGGTTTCATTCCTAGCCCTACCAGATCTTTCCGTCTGTTGAATTCCTTCCCATTTTTCAATATTGTATCCAACGTGAATCAATAATAGACAGTGGAATACTCACTGTTTCAGAAGTATGACATGATAATAAACATCTACGATAGGCTTTCTTTTTTCAAAAGCACTCATTTTGTACATTAGCAATCGACTGGAAGTATACAAAGATAACGTTAAAAGTTTTATTTCCAAAACCATTTCACGAAAATATTCTCAATAATTTCTGGGAACATTAAATAAGAACATTGTCTTTAAACTAAGCTTTAAACCAATTGTATAATATGCCTCTACAAACGTTCTGTTTTCCTGGCTATGTAACAATCCCTTAGGTTCAACCAGACAAAATGGCAAATTCAAATCCACGGGGATTAAACCTTTCGGAAATTGCCGCCACTTTGGAAAGAGATCTTTCAATATTCGAGACTTTCCATAAATGCTCGTTAATTTCATAATGACATAAGCCTTCGAAATTGATTCGGAGGTCACACTTGGATGATCTCTGGAAATAAGTACTTCCTCGTACGTTTAACAGTTTTCCAGAGACCTTAAAAGGGGAGCTTGAGATGAATTTTGACTGTTTGTGTTAATTATAAACATGAAAAACCACCTCATACTTGTTTGTTTCCAATTACAACTATGAATCCAAACTGACTAAAATGTCTTTAAATATTTAATTGATGTTGTCTTTCAGACATCAAAGTTTATTGCTGTCGTCAACGATGAGTTGGAAGCACTCGTGTGAAACAGACTATAGAACTTATACATGTCCATCTATATGTCTTAAGAGTAATATGTGTATATTTGATAAAATCCTTAAGCAAGTATCTTTTTATATATTTTTAATTTAAACTGTTGAAATTGTGAAAGTGCCTTATTTTGCGTTACAAAAATAGGTATTCAATCAAACGCGTGCTAGTTAAGAACAAATAATAAATAAATAAATAAATAAATAAAGGAACTGAACAATAAGAAATTAACAAATAAAAAATATATTATATAAATAAATAGATTTAAATAAAATAAATGTTATAGAATTTTTAAAGAATTTTGTACAATATTATTGCTTAAACATATTTATCAAGAAGTTTTCTTTTAAAGTCTGTTGTTTTATTTTCATATCTATTTTAATATTCAATGTAAAAAAATGAAAAAAAATTGAAATTCCCTAATAATGTTCCAATAGATTTTCTGGATATTGATGCATCTCACGTTTTTATGATTGAGTTACACGGAAAATCCCCTCTTCATCAGATGCATCCAATTTTTTTTCTAGAAACTTGTACTTATTTTTAGATTAAGAATGACTTGAAGGATAAGCTTCGTAAAAAAGATGTGTTTAAGCAATAGAAAGGCTAGTATAAATACTGTTTTATTTTTTAAACGTATATTTAGGCATTATACATATGTCATTAGATACTCAGTAAATTTCGAATCAGCCATATGGTCCAAGGTCTCTTTGTCTTTAAATTAACTCATACATATGTTACATTAAAATATAGAATCTTAATTCAGAATTATTTATGGATGAGTTTAAATTATGTAACACATATGTTGTCTCCAAAATGTTCATTTTTTTCAAAATAACTAGATCGTCATCTAATATTGATAAAAATTATGAAAAAATGTGGATAGAGGTCAAGTAAATCTAGCAAAATAGCATAAATATTACATCGATAGTAAGATAATCAATCTCAGTAGATTGCTTAGTTTGATTTTTATAACTAGAGTGATAACAAAGTGATTTTATAGTACTCATTGATAATCTGGTTCATGTTAAATTTATAGCATTTCTGTTAGGATAAATCCTTACTTGTAAATACATTTTGTTCTCTACTACTCCCTAAAGCTTAAGTTATCTATTGACTTGAATAAATACAGAGGATACGCTTTATGTTTCAAATCAAAACTGAAAATTGATTGATTGTTGTAGTTTTACGTCCCTTGCATGATCATAAAATCACGTCACGGGCTTCAAATTTAGACCTTTACTCGACTCTTAGAAGCATCGAGCAGTGAGGGATCTTTATGTGCCAACGGCCTGTCACGACGCGGGGCCTCGGTTATTAAGGTCTTTTCTGAAAGAAAACTTTCACTTCAAAGTGCCAAACGCTCGGAGAAGGAATAGTTGCTACCTACATTTATCGGCTTAGGTTTGTCGTGGTCGTGGAGTCTGAACTCAAGACCTTCCGATTGCAAGCGAGCTCTCTATCGACAGAGCAAAACTTAAAAAGTGCTGCAAATGAAAGATAAAACAAAAACATATTACACCACAAGTATTGCTCATTATATATGATGACTTTTGATAACTTAGGGACTGACAAGAAATATATTTAGGTACCCGTAAACCCATTCACTTCAAATACAAAATACAGACAGAAATTCTGAATGTCCCTGGTTTACGTTTACATTGTTTTATAAATAGCATGAACATTCACAACAGGAAAAATCAATGCTTGTTTTGACAAGTGTTCATCGTCTATTATTTTTTTTTCCCATCCTTAAAATGGACAGCTTTGACAAATTATCTACTTTAATCATGATTGACTTCACATCTTATAAGCAAATGGCTTTTAGATTTCTGTTTCTTGCTTATCGATTATTCTGCTTGAGTAATGAAGGAGGAGAGTTTTATAAATAAAACAGAAGTCAGAACAGCTTGGGATTTGTCTTCCAAATTACACGACATCTTTTGCAAACATGAAGATATTCAATGCATGTTTAAATTATCATTACGCAGGAAATTGTATGTGATGCTTTTTGTGACGTTTTAAATGTACTCACCAACAAATTCCGTATTTCAATGAAATAGATTTATTTCTCAGTTTATTTTTAGCAAAAATAAAAAGAAGTTTTTTCATCAAGAATTTTTCATGAACAAGATTATAATTCTTAAGGATATCCGATCCTCAGCCAGGAAGGATAACTCTTAAATTTATTATTTTATTTAAAAAGTCTCAAAATGAAGCTTGAAATTGAGATCTTTTCGTGCAACAATTTTCATTTTATGCATCTTAATATGATTCAAGATTCTTTGAAGTCTTCGAAACGGTCTTGTAAAAAGTTGACATTTGTACCCCACAAACGATAAAAATGAATTCATTTTTAGAGAAATCGAATTTCCTTTAGTCTAGCATTAGATACCAATGCTTATTAGCATGATATAAAATTAGACATGATATGTGATGTCTAACAATGATAGCATAAGCTTTTTACACTATTTATTATATGACAATTGAAGTAAAAAGAAGAACTAAAATACTGTATAAGCATAAAAAAGATGCAATTTTCTCCAAATGCCTGGATACCTATATTTTTCTATCCTAAATTATATTTGTTGATCAATTTTCAATTAAAAAATGCATAGCTGATGTTTTTATTCGCATTTCCTGAAAATATATTTGAGATTTGATCATTTTCCCTATATGATTAACTATAATGATGAACTTTGAAGAAATTCCATGGGTAAATTCACGTTACTATGTGAAATCAAAGACATTTTTGTGAGCAATTTCAATGACTTAAAAGCTAATTTTCAGAGCCTGAGGATCGGAGTACCTTAAATAATATTTAATGAAATATGAAGATAACGAACAGTAATCAAGGTCAAAAGTCCACTGGAACAATACAAATCTGGAGCAGAGCAAACCTCTAAAAACATCAGAGGTAGGATCAGGTGTTATAAAGGAGTAAGCATCCCCTTCCGACTTGTCACACCGCCGTGTGTTACTTGATCGAGTAATCGGAGAAATCCGTAGTATTCAGTAGGAAGAAAATGACAATGTTCCTTGTTTATGAAAAACTAAAGTCAAAATTCGATTTAAAGATATATTGTATTTGCTAACAAGGTCATTGTATCGACCATAGAATTTGCAAAATGTTGACTTTATACAGGGCTCTTGATATCCTTGTATCATCAACTTATTTGTCAATAGATTGCTTCTTTTCAGAAATTGTTCGTACGTATAGCATGCTCTTGCGTATCGATTCAACTGGGAGACATAAACTGATAATGGTATATTGCTACATAAATGAAGGAAGGAGACGATAGAAAAGTACTATGCAAACAAAATGAAACTTTTTAAAAATCTCATTTCCTTTTAATTTATTCATTATCCTCCAATTACTCTTCTTTAAACACATCTTTTCAGTAACTGTCCTTTATAAAACTTTATCTTAACAACAAAACATTAACGTGCTCTATACATTCTGTATTCTCGCCTCATCATTTTTATATCACCAAAGCTTGCAGTGAAATATATGGAGATAACGAACAGTATTTAAGCAAATAAATTATAATTATACCAGCACTTTCTAAAAGAAGTTTGTAAAGGTAGTATATTGTCACACTATCTTCTTCCTCTAACTGACATGTTAAGCAGTAGAATCTTAAGCAATGAATCTTTTTGAATACGATTATTGGTTTCCTGCTTTCTGAGTTTCATTTCATCCTTTATCATTGTCAACTGTGGATTGAAATACGGCGTTTTTGAAGGAAAAAAAAAACTGGTTCCAAGAATTACCTCATATTTTTATAACACAATAGCCAAATCATCTTTCGGAATAGTTACACCAAGGTGTTTCGAGTGCATGCCATACTTAAAGTAAAATAGACATTAAATGTTAACATCGCTATTTTGGGAAAATAACGTTCGATTTTAGCAACTTCCTTTTTGCTGCAACCATTATCTTCAAATTAACAAAAAGAAAAGAATCAGACTGAGTGTTGGGTATGTGGGCTATAGCGTGATTGTCCCCGATTAATCGCCAACCAGGATGCACCTAAGCAGAAGTTGATGCCAAAACATTCTGCCTTGATAAGCTGAATTAAAGTTTTAGAGTTATTTAGCTTCTATGATATCTGTTTCATTTTCAGTAGTAAAATGACAATATTATCGGGTACCAAAGATGAAATGTGAGAGAAGTCTTAAATGTTAAAAATAATGATAATCATGTAGCTTTACTAGATGTAAGTATTTGATATGTAAAATGCAATTACCTCTTATTTTGTTGGTAGTGGCCTATTAATCAAAAACTTTACGTGGGATGCCGGTTACTTGTGTCCATGGCCATGATTGGTTGGTTTTTGGCAGACATCGTCTACGAATCAGCAGCTTTCTACCAGGATCGCACATGGACTTACGCTGTTTACGCCACCAATTGGAGTTTCTTCCTGTTGGTCATCACCAGTCTGTATCAGACAATGTGCAGTTTATACTACACAATCAAGACTTCGGATAATCTAGGTACTGGTGAAAAAAGTTAAACTGTTTTTAATTAAATTTTACTTTAGACGAACTCAGGCTTGCTGTTGTTCATATACTAATATTTGATTGTTTCATTTATCATTGATTCATAACGTAACTGAGAATTAAAAAAATGATTTTTATACAAGATTTAATGCGGAAATGCTCAACTTTTGTTACATATATATTTTTTTACTACTGTATACTGCTTGAGTGTATAATCTGGTGACAAAATGGGTGTACACCTACACCCCATGCTCATCACTTGAGGAAGCTCTAACACTGATCACTGAAGAGTTCTAATTCCATGGTAGTTTTATGCATTTTATGCAGTGATCTGCTTTTTGATGTAAGATTGAATAAACTGAATTTACGGTAAACGGCATCAATTGAAATGGATCGGAGAATACTTAACATTATCTTAAATCAATCAAAAAGGTGAAGATAGCGAACAGATATCGATCTTAAGAAAATCTACAAACAATTCAATTCTGTGAACCCATGGAAATTCCAGAGGTGGGATCAGGTGTCTAGGGGGAGTAAGCATTCCCTGTTGACCGATCATACCCGCCGTGAGCTCTATGTATTGATCAGGTAGACGGATCATTCCGAAGTCAAATTAAGTATAAAAAGAAATTGGTATGAGTTAACACATCAGCCAAAATACGACCAAATGATAGCTTACATTTATTAACATGGTCATTATAACGACCATAGAATTTACGAAAAACTGACTTAAAACGAGGTTGTTAAAATCCATGTAACATCACTTATCTGTCAATAGCCTGTCTTGGATTAAAAGTTGATTGTACTCAGAGCATGTTCTTGAGTATCGAATAAGTTGAGAGAGACCATATACAGGTGATAGCGGGATATTTAAAAAAAATAAGGAAAGTTGACGCTGGAAAAGTTAAATTCCATCGTTTGTCATGCAATTACTATGTATGTGTATAATGAAAAAAAGAACAAGAATGATAAGGAATGACTTATAAAAAAAAAGATGTGTTTGTGAAACAATGATGCCCCCGTATGACAACTTATAGCAAAGGTTAAACTTTCTCGAATGCAAATCAAATATCCTGGTACCCAAAGTAAGGTCTTGTCTCGAGGAATAAACATGTGAAATATGAAATTCCTAGCGGCAACCATTGAATAGATATGGAAAAGGTTAAAGTTTTTTCAAAAGTACGTCAAACATCAAGGTCAAGGTCAAATGGTCAAAATTAATGGTGCCCAAGGAAAGGCCTTCTACCTAGAAATACACAGGTGAAATATGACAGCCGAAGCACCAATCGTTCAAAAGTTATGACCAAGGTTAAAGTTTTACAAAAGTAGGACAAACTCCAAGGTCAAGGTCAAAGGGTCAAAATTGTTGGTATCCAAAGAATGGTTGTGTCACAAGGATTACATATGTCAAGTATGAAAGCCTTAGGACCAACCCTTCAAAAGTTATGGCCAATGTTAAAGTTTTACGAAAGTAGGTCAAACTCCAAGGTCAAGGTCAAAGGGTCAAAGTTGTTGGTATCCAAAGAAAGGTTGTGTCACAAGAATTACAAATGTGAAGTATGAAAGCCCTAGGACCAACCGTTCAAAAGTTATTGCCAAGGTTAAAGTTTTCCAAAAGGAAGTAAAACTCTAAGGTCAAAGTCAAAGGGTCAAAATTGTTGGTATCCAAAGAAAGGTCTTGTCACAAGGATTACATACGTGAAGCATGAAAGCCCTAGCACCAATCGTTCAAAAAATATGGTCTAGGTTAAAGTTTTCAAAAAGTAGGTCAAACTCCAAGGTCAAGGGGTCAAAGTTGTTGGCATCCAAAGAAAGGTCTTATCACAAGGATTACATATGTGATGTATGAAAGCTCTAGCACAAACCATTTAAAAGTTATGGCCAAGGTTATCGTTTTCCATAAGTAGGTCAAACTCCAAGGTCAAGGTCAAAGGGTTAAAGTTGTTGGTATCCAAAGAAAGGTCTTATCACAAGGATTACACATGTGAAATATGAAAGCCCTAGCTCCAACCGTTCAAATTTTATGGCCTAGGTTAAAGTTTTTTCAAAAGTAAGACAAACTCCTAGGTCAAGGTCAAAAGGTCAAAGTTGTTGGTATGCAAAGGAAGGTTTGTCACAAGGATTACACATGTGAAGTATAAAAGCCCTAGCACTAATTGTTCAAAAGTTATGGCCAAGGTTAAAGTTTGGTAAAATTTTGCAAAACTGGGTCAAACTCCAAGGTCAAGGTCAAAAGGTCAAATATGGTGGTACCCAAAGAAAGGTCTTTTCACAAGGAATACACATGTGAAATATGAAAGCCATAGCTCCAACGAATCAAAAGTTATGGGCAAGGTTAAAGTTTTTGCGGACAAACAGACAGACAGACGGATGGACAGGGCAAAAACTATTACACACCCGAATCTTCGATACAGGGGCATAAAAAAAAAAACAGGGCACAGACCCTACTTACTTGTTGCTTATAAAAAAAGAGATCTTTTTATTTTGAATCTTCTGATTGATTGATTTACATTGTTTTACGTCTCATTCGAGAATTTTTCACTCATATAGAGACGTCTTCATATACCGATAAAGGGCTTCAAATTTAGGCCTACACTCAGTACTCAGGGCCATTGAGCAGTGAGGGTTCTTTATCGTGCCAACGTCTGCCGTGACACGGGACCTCGGTTTTTAAGGTCCTATCCGAAGGACCTGTGACTTTCACATTGAGTGTCGTGCTTGGCGAAGGAACAGTCACTACCCATGTTTACGTCTTTGGTTTGACGCGGCCCGGCTAACGAGAACCCGAACCTTTATAGCACCCGGCCCTCAGATCACGAAGAGAACGCCCTACCACTGGGCTAACGTGACCGGTCTGGATCTTCTGATAACGTCAAATGTAATTTGATTTAACTTGTGTTTTTTTTAATTCTTTTCAGACGACAGACATTTTGATAGGATGCCGCTCTCCTTGAAGATTCTATGGGTGCTCAAGAACCTAAGCTATAATTCTGCATTTATCGTTACCATGTCTTACTGGGCATTTATAATTTTCCTTGATCATAGCAGTGAGTTCTTTTTAAGTACATTTTTTTTTCAAATTCATAAAAAAAAATTTGATCTACATTTTTTTTCTTGTAAGAAATATCACGCTCTTTTGATCACAGCCATACATGTACATGTATATACGAACAAACAACGCATAACCTTTAGAAATGAAAATTTCTACATATTGAATAACATTTTCCAAAACTTTCAGAATGAATGCTAGTGAACTGTCAAATTTTTGTTGTAAATTTTTAACTTTTCGGGTGAAATTGTATTTACTGCCACCCTGTAAACAGCATGACAGCACATTTACCTGTATATGTTATCTTGAATGAAAATCATGTCCTGTGTAATTGTTTTCTTCTCATATGTAAAATATTCACTCCCTTCCCTGTCTCCTCCAATAAAATATAATAAAATGAATATAAATAAATAAAAGTAATAGATATGATAAAAAAAAAAAAAAAATAGTAAGAAAGACAACAATAGCGTCTACCATTTATTTAGATTTTTTGTATATTATGTGTAAGCAAATATAATCATGTATCTCTATATTCTTTCATATTTCAAAAATAAATGTCAAATCAAATCTATATTCACCTAACAAACTTTTTTTCTGCAGAGGTATTCCAGACAGATTTAAGCAGGTTGAAGCACACTATGAATTCTGTTTACGTTCTACTGGACATGATGATATCGGCTACTCCATTCCGTCTTTTACACATGTTATACACGGTAGCTCTGGGATCCGTCTACTCTCTGTTTAACGCTATATATTTCCTCAACGATGGAACAATTCTGGAGGGCCGACATTACGCCTATAACGTTTTGAACTGGGTAAAACCCACGGAGGCTATAGTGACGTGTACGTTATGTATTATCTTGTCAATACTAAGCCAGACATTCTTATTCTTGTTGTACAGATTACGTCTATGGATATTCTTTAAATTGTATTTTAAAGATCATTCTTTGGCACCGTTGGATGACTTTGAATCTGAAATGAGCAGTATTATTTCGGAGCAATCATCCTACAAATACACGATGGAATAATAGAGTTTCTGAAACAACAGCAAACATACTATAATGACAAATCAAAAGTGAAGTACTTTTAATTTCGATCAAAATTTGTATATAACTTATGTATACACATACATGTATATATGGTGTACTGAATGTGCATAACATGTAGCTAGTTTACGTGATACATGTATTATATATTTTCTACATCTTCATTTGGTAGTGTCATATTGTCAATATCTGTAGACATATCAGTATAGATCAGTTTTAGTTGATCGTCCGATACTCAAGGTTTTTGTCAGTATCCATGATCGCAAAAATGATTAAGACTAGATAAAGAGTCGACTGTAATTATCGACTATAAAGATACCCATGTATGTACACCAAAACAACGTTCACCTACTTCTCGAGATAATAATTACACATATTCAATATATTATCTAATAGATGTTGCCATGACTCTGTGTCAGATTTCCTACTTGATCTTTTGTTTAGTTACATTACATCTTTATTAGGGAAAAAGCAGAGAAGAATATATTATGGAACGCCGGGACTGTCTTATATGAGGATTAAACATTATATGCAGTGTTCTCTTCATTATATGTGGTACTATTTTAATTATATGAAGTAGTTTTTACAGCATATCGTGTGCAACTTCCATTATATACAGTACTTCCTTCATTATATGATGTAGATGTGTCATTATATTATGTACGTCTATCATTATATGAGGTGTTTTTATCATCATATGAAGTGCTTTTAACATTATATGCGGTAGATCTAATATTATTTGCAGTGAACACAACAATATATTATGTACTTCTCACATTATATACAGTATATTCATCATTATATGTAGTATTTCTGTTATTATGATGATGCTGATCGTTAAATATTATGTCCGGTCCTGTTAGCATTCCGTGCGGTAGATTTTGCATTTCGTTATGATGTAGACACAGTATTATATGCGGTGCTTTATTCTTCATGTGTATGATCTTTCGGAAGCTACCTTTCGGAACTCTCTGTTAAAAATTCGGTACCTTGAGAACTCCGACCTTTCCTGTTGAATTCAGTACAATAAAAGTATGCGTATATAACAATCAATGCTCCGTGAACAGGTTAAAATGTTTTTTATAAAGATATGAAGTATAGGGTAAAAGAGTAAAATAAAATCCATTCTATTTCATGGTATGAAGTAAAGAGAGAGAGAGGGGGGTGTTGATAGAAATATTTTGGGAGTGGAAAAAATTTGAGGCATTTTCTATTTTTTTTGTGAACAATATGACTTTCAAAAAGATTCATATCATATATAGGACAATGTCAAAAAAGATAATAAAAAACAACAGGGGCGTCGGCAAGAATTTGCATGACATTCGGGAGGCGAACTGGATCGAAAAGGGGGAGGGGTCCTAACCAACTAAAATAAGCACCAAGACTTCAGCCAAAATCTTGATATTTTTATTTTCTGATTAATAAAGAACAATTAAACATGCAACCAAAAAAATGTTTTATGTGAATTAAGTTATATGCACTATAGATAAAAAAAAAGGAATATTTTTAATTAGCTAGGAGCTAGTGGGTTTTTTTTTTCCCGAAACGGCATAGAAAGAACTTTGAAGGGTTTATGAGGTAAAGATTAAAATACATATAATTTTCTATTATTGTATAATATTTATAGTTACTCGCCGAAAGAATGCATACATGCATGTAGTCACGGTTAAGAAAAATTTACTTGGCTTTGGATTGTATCTTATATAGTCAAATATCTGGATTTCAAAACTGCGTTCGCATGGATAATGCTTACAAGTGAAATGGCAAGCTTTTAAATAAGGACCTCTCCGTTTTTCACGAATTTCATTCAATCCGAAACATAGGAAAAAATATGCATATTTTTAAAATCAATTCAAGAAAAAAAAAACTGAAAAAGGGGGGGGAGCTTTTCGATCTTGTTACTGAAATTTAAAATGAAGAGGGTGATTAATCCTTCATAATCCCCCCATTTTTGAAATGCAGAAATGTGTGTGACATAAAAAAAAAAAATCATCTGAAGTTGTTTTAAATAGTATTTGTTACCCATTATTTTAGTATATTGCTTTAATTTTAATAGCTTACAACTTCGATTCATCAAAGATTTCCAAACATCGATAGACCAATTCATTAGACAATGAACAGGCCTGTTATACGCGGGGGGGAGGTGTCAGGAAGGGGTGCTCTAATTTTTTTTCTCCAATTTCTCCACTTTTTCTGAGAATAGGCTTAAGTTTCGATATGTAGAAATTCATTAACGATGCTGCCCCCCCCCCTCCTTTCATACACACTTTCTGTTGCTGTCAGGTCGAAATCGGATAAATTCCAAAAGAATTAAAAAGAAAAAAAAATCCGGCAACTTAGAGAGTCCCCCCCCCCCCCCCAAATAGAATTTCCAAAAACGTTGCTAGCTGTGGACCTGATAAAGAATTTGTAGCAAACTTGCACGTAGAGCGATGGATACCATGCTTATTGTTTACAAACGCCAGGTACAGGTATATAATTACACACGTACACGTACATCCTAATTTGCGTCTGTGTAAACAATAGCTTTCACACTTCGCCGCTCCATTGACCACAGATATATATATATATATATATATATATATATATATATATATATATATATATATATATATATATACGTTGTATTACTGGGTAATTTTACCACATATCTTTTTAGAGGTAAAATCTTGAAGTACAACCCACGACTCAATACATTTTCTGTTCTGAAAATCGTTTATCTTTTCCTGATACATTACATAACATTCACATAGTATTTACCTAAAGACAATTTCAGCAATTTTTTTATACGCCATAGTTTAACAATTAATACTATGGAACAATAAAATTATTTCAGTAATACATTGTAATAAGTGCATCTCTCTCTCTCTCTCTCGTTGTAAACTATACTGAAGTATTGATATGACTTCGAAATTCCTTTAATATAGGGATAAATATTGTGTGGTATGTGATTATTCCGCGATGCTTTGGCTGACGTGTGGTTGATTACTATTTATTAAAGATAACCCAAAATCAATAAGAATTTTCATATCTAAGAACGAAAAAAGGTAGAACTTTCTAAATCTAACAAGGGGGGTTCCGAAAGGTAGCTTCCGAAAGATCATACACATAAAGAAGAAAGCACCGCATATAATACTGTGTCTACATCATAACGAAATGCAAAATCTACCGCACGGAATGCTAACAGGACCGGACATAATATTTAACGATCAGCATCATCATAATAACAGAAATACTACATATAATGATGAATATACTGTATATAATGTGAGAAGTACATAATATATTGTTGTGTTCACTGCATATAATGTTAGATCTACCGCACATAATGTTAAAAGCACTTCATATGATGATAAAAACACCTCATATAATGATAGACGTACATAATATAATGACACATCTACATCATATAATTAAAGAAGTACTGTAAATAATGGAAGTTGCACAGTTGCTGTTGCTGTAAAACCTACTTCATATAATTAAAATAGTACCACATATAATGAAGAGAACACTGCATATAATGTTTAATCCTCATATAAGACAGTCCCGGCGTTCCATAATATATCCTTCTTTCCCAATTATATCTTTGTTCATCATTGTTTGACCTTGACATGTCCTTTATCATTGAAATATGACCTTAAGTCTAGGTCATTAAATAATTTCAGATCACAACATACTTATCTTCGAAATTATTCCTATTAAGGGTTCAAAAGTTGTTACCCTAACACATTTCAGCATCGTATTGTCATACCTTAAAGACATCGGCCATAAAATACTTAAGTTTGAATTCAGAGTTCCAAAGTGTCGCCCTGGCACCATTACCAAACCATAATGTGTGCAGTGACCTTGACCTTTGAGATATAGCTACCTTAGGACAAAATAATGGTCTTGGCCAATTTCAACATTTGAACATTTCAAATTGAGGTTTCAAGAGTTTGGGCTTATAATTGATTTTCAGCAGGCAGACAGACGCCACCAAAACCAATATATCTCCTCCAGGTGTTTGTGTGTGTGTGTGGGGGGGGGGGGATAACCATAAAAAGAATTAACTGAAGAGCGCTAAATCATATTCATATTGTTGGCGACTTTAACTATTTACACATATAAATACCTGAGGCATAATGAACTTGAGTGTCAAGTGACCTTCAGTTATAATTATGATTGACTATCAGGTAATAATCAACTTATTAGATATGAATAAATAACATTTATTTCTACATGACATTAACCAGTGAAAGTTTATGATATACACACAAAAAATAAATTGTAATATTCATATATATATTTACATTTCAAATTTTTTTTTTGTCGGAGATATAATGACATATGAAGAAATAGCTCTATATCTTCATATCGTCATTTGCTCATCATGTGACATAACTGACTTCTCACTGTGTGTTGCTTAGTAATACACTGGGCGGAGCTTGCAGACTTAGATTTCTAACTATAGAATAAAAGCAATTGAATCAAGGATCAGGTAAAGAACAACTGTCTGATTTGTTTTGTTTTGTTTGTTTGTTTGTTTGTTTGTTTTTTGTTTTATGATGTGATCAAACAGCTTGAACACGTGATAATTTTATGCCTTCTGCATTTTTGCAAATCACATTGTATCTCGTGAGCAAACTGTTTGATCTCATCATAAAATAAAAAAAAATAGACAGTTATTCCTTAAGTTATCCTATACATATTTAGAATTAAATTATGAAAGTCAGTGAATCGCAATATGCATGCTAAATATATATTAGGCGTTGTCAAAAGTTTAAAAATAATAGATAATTCGAAGTACTTTTGAGTATTTTTGTTTTATTTTCTAGAAACATGTACATAAAGACATAAAGTATAGCATACTTCTCGACCCAGAACTTTTGCCACTTGAAGAAAGGATGCAAATTTCAAATTTTCTGTAGAGGGCTTATTGTTCATTATCAGTCAGTATTTATCATGCGACCGAGATGTGTGCTATTTACCAGGTACCCGAGTGTATAAAAGGTTAAAACGAAAAATGTCAACAAAAAAAAAAAAAGAAAAAAAAAGAAAAAAGAAAAAAAAAATCAATTTTCGATTAAATAATCAACTCATCTCTACCCTACAACTACGAGCCGATTCAGGAGCTCAGGAGACGTAAACTTTGATAACTAAATGTTCCAGAGTAGAGAAAAGTTAT